GGAATAAGTGAGTGAGTGAATGTAGCCATTCCGAACCCCACATACTGTCTGTCAAGAAGGTAGCAAATTGTAGGACAAATAGTTCCACCCAGTTTTTCTGTACTTCAGGAAAAGCTTAGTCAATTTTATGCCATAAATAGGCCCAGAAAGTGGCATGAGACTACATGGTAAGGAGTTATTGTTCCATCCATGTTTGGTGTGAATTTCTGATCTTATATTAAAATCAAACCAACTTTCTTTATTTTGGCGCATTTAATCCGAGATCAGCTAGCTCCTTGTACGTAGAAAGTGGGCATTGGACCGGTCCGACTTGACTCACCAGACAACTGCCCAAATCTTCCAGTGGACTAATGTATGGGCCATTGACGGTCCATTTACTGGGCCGAATCCACCCGAAGAAAGGGCAACCCATGGTGGTCCATGGCCTTTTAGCGGGTTATTATTTATGGGACGAGTCCTGATAACCTTTAAACCAGATGTAATTGGATTTCATATTTTATTACTCGCATTAGAATAGTGAAATTTTAAAGACTATTAGGATTTGATTAATATTGGATAAGTTTATATTACGGAAATTTTTTATTTTTTTTCCTGTCCTACCACCAGATACAATTTTTTAGAAGCGAGTTATTATCTTTTTTGGTGGTATATATGATCAATCCAAATTATAAATTTAGAATCAACCCTAAATATTGCGATTATTCTAAAATTTTAATAACAATACCTAACTCCTTAAAGTTGGTAATTGATTTTCAAAATGGTATACTTGGCAAAAAAATATCTTTTTGAGGATCAATCATATGGTAGGATTGATTCTAATGTTTATTTTTGCAATCTAATCCCACAAAATTATATAGGCTACATGCTTTCTTTTTGCAGGAGCTCACACCATAGGATCAGCCCATTGCAGTTCATTTAGCGACCGGTTCCAACTCAACTCTAAAGGAAAGCTCACTCGCGTGGATGCATCCCTGGGCAAAGATTATGCGGCCAAACTGGCTAAACAGTGTCCTGCAGGAGCAAGCTTGTCTGTAACTGTTAACAACGATCCCGAAACACCTGCCCTTTTTGATAACCAATATTACAAGGATCTCCTACTCCACAAGGGCCTCTTCCAATCTGATTCCGTTCTAGTTAGTGATCAAAGAACAACGAACAAAGTTGTGGAATTAGCAAATGACCAGCAAAGTTTTTTGAGAGTTGGGGCGAGTCGTTCATGAAGCTTGTGAGCATTGGAGTGAAAACGGGTGATGAAGGAGAGGTTCGACAATCTTGTTCTGTGACTAATGGATGAAGCATTGGGGAGTAGTGGAAAATCATTCGAATAGTTTGAGAAATAAGCAAGGAGAGTGCTTCAAAAGTACTAATCAAATAAGGCCTTAGAAGAATTCTGTTGGCACATAAATATTTTGTATGTTGATAGTTTATGCAAGTTATTCATTTCTAGTTGTAACTAATTTTGTTTTTCTTGTCCATGTCATTGTTGATTTCTTTTCACCCTTCCCTGTGATTCTGTGAGGTCATAGTAATTAATTGCTGTAAAAGCTCATTTTCCGCCCAAATATGATGAATGCTGGACGGTTAATGCATTGCCATCAAAGTATTGTTCCATGCTCACATTACAGGTTGTGGGTCATTCTAGCATATTAGCTTACAATTTATACTATTTAATAATTTCACAAGTAACTTTCACAAGAAAAAAAAAATCGGAAGTAACTTTTCGATATGTTCGTAGAGTTGTCCACTTCTTTACCTCTATATATGTTTTAATCTACATGTTAGAATAATTTAATATTAAAAGAAAAGTTTTTAATAATTATTATGTATACCCCACCACATAATGTTTTCATTATTTATATTTCATAGGATTTTTTAAAAACGGTTACATGTGTGTGTGTGTATATGTATGTGTGTGTGTGTGTGTCATCATCTAGTATTATTAATATTTTTAATGTGTATTGAAGTTGGGAGTAATTGCTCCAAACTAGTCGTTTAAGATTAGACTATATAAGACTATCACTACAACTCATTTTGGAGGATTTTTGATGAAAGAGAGACTATTTTCTATATTTCTCCATACAAAATATTCATCTATTTGTTGTATGATTTATGTGTTTTTCTGGGCAACTTGAGTTATGATCGTTCGTAATAGAGAGTTTTATGTCTGCCCCGTAGCTTCTCTAGGATTGTTGAATTTTGGAAAAGGAACACCAGAATACTCTGTACGGAGGGGACATATCTCTTCTTAGGACAATGCTTTTGGCGTGCCTCAATCCAGGCTATTCTAAACTTATCTTGATATCAAATTCTATTATATTCATTGTTATTTATTTGATTGTTTATATGATATTAAAATCTTCTTGAGAAATATAAGTCAAAATAACTCTCTATCAGCATTATATATCAAATTATTTCCAACAATCTAAGAAAGGGTAACGAATTGTTGGTTTAGAGTAGTACATAAAATTTTGCTTCTTCATTTATTTGGATCTTACATATCTTTTTTATTTGGAATATGAGTACTGTAATATGCAATACTAGCTAGCACGGTAAAGATAGGTTGACATGGCGAATACAGATAAATTCCCGTCAACGATCCATTTCCTATAAAACTTCTAATTGATTTTATTATTTATTTTCATTTAATTTGAAGTTTCTAATTAATAGGTTTTAATAGGATAATGAATAATGATTTTAATGGCATTTTACACCTAATTTCAGTGGCTAGTCACTAGCTGTTGGTGCAATAAAGCCTCCAATTCTTGAGCTTTTTCAAATCATGTAATTCAGGAATTCCTATAGGCTATATAAGCAGATGAGTGACAGTGGACATAGAGAGAACAACCGGCCATGGCTTTTTCTTTTTCATGTTGCTTTAAGTCTTTTATCTCTCTTATAGTTCAGTAGGTCAAACCTCTAAGCCTTTTATTTAATACATATTTTCTAATCACCAAAATGGAAATTCTTCTTACCTATCTTAAATGGATTTATCTCACTGATGAACTGAGAGAATGCCACTGGATAAGAGCCACTAGCTTTGATTTCAAGATATAATGCATGGTCTCAAGGCCAAACAAAAAAAATATATATATATTTAAAATAAAAAAAAAACTTCTGTTATTCTTTTATAACTTATGAGCTATTGCACATATGAATGTCATTAATGCTATGGTATTTATTAAAAATAATAATAATAAGGATAACCTAAGTGTGCTATCATTCTAATAATCCCTTATCATTTGTGACTACTAATATCACTAATCTAAGTTCTTTCATAGAGATCTACTATACATGTGATATGCTCTTACTTGAGATTTTATCTATAAGTTTGTGATTGACTTTAAGTACCACTGTAATTGTATACCATACCCCTACAACCCATAGTTATTTTATACTATGATATGAATAATGCAAAAGTAGCTACTATTTGGTTTTGACTGTTCAGATGCATAAGCTATATAAGTGATTTTTACAATTTAGAACTATGGGCTATACAAATTGAGATGAAATTGAATTTTGTTTCTTGAATTTTTATTTGTGCTGATGCAATATTGCATAAGGAAAAACAATTATGCATTTGCAGATTTGAGAATTTTTCAATGTGGGGACACATTGTTGGGAAATTTATTGTTATTTAGTTGATCTTCTATATGTTTGCATTTGAAAATTTTGAAAAAACATGATAAATGTGGGGGTTGATATTGAAAGGATTCCAAATGTGGAGGTAAATGAAGTGCAGTAAAATTCAATGTCGGGAAAAAAAATTTGTATGTGGGGTGCAACATAAAATGTTCTAAGTGATACTCGATGAAATTTCAGAGTAGCTCCTAGTAGATTGAAGACTACTGGCCAAACTAAAAAATGGTTCCTAGTAGATAGAATACTACTGGTCACAATTATGAAATAGTTCCTAGTAGTTTGAGAATTACTGATCATAGTTGAAAATGGTTCCTAGTAAGTGAGACACTACTGGCCACAATTTAAAAATAGTTCATAGTAGCAGTCTATTGGTCACTTTTGTGATTCCTAATAGTAAGACTATTGACTATAATTATTGAGACTCGTATATGTTGAATTTGTTAAAAGAAATATTAGACCCTCTTGTCCCAACTATTAATTTGTTGTCTCGATTCAAATAAAAAGACTGTTTTATATGAGGGGTCTATGAATTATATGGTTTCGTGAGATTGGAAAGAAATATATATTGTTGGATAGCTGAGCCGAGAGGTCTTATGAGATTGGGAACTACAAGGGTAGACCATCTTGTTAAAAGGCTAGCAAAAGCTAGTTTAAGATTCACAAGGGAAATGAGACTAAAGCCTATAAGTTAGTTATCACAATTGATACCTAACCTTTGTGATTGGAGATCTCATGAAGGAGGTTCAATAGGTAAGAATGAAGTTGTAGAATGACTATGGTGATCATTGAAATTATAATAAGGAAATTCTCTGATCCTATTTCTAAGGTGACAGTGCTTAAAACTGTGATGATAATAAAAGGAAGAGTAAATCTTTGAATGAGGCCAAGACATGATTCTACAAGGTATTGATCATAGAATACTCTTGGAGGACTCACCTATATGTATGCTTGTGGTGAGGCCACTACTACGGGATATAGACTAATCCTTATTAGAACATACATGAAAATCAAGATACATGCTCATGGTCATAAGAGCGCAAAACTGATTAGAACTTGATCTAATACCTGTGCCATGTGTTTGACAAGTAGAAAACTGAACCAACAAATCTAGTTCCAGACTTGTTCACTATGATTCTTTTAGATGGAAACTTGTTAGATTAAGCAGTGTTATCAAATTAGACTGGGCCGCCATGTCTGACCAGTTCTCAATAGTGAATTGGGACCTTAACCGGTCTGGTTAACTAGTTAAACCGAATAAGGAAGGGAACCGGATAAAAACTGCCTAATCGGCCGATTTTTGGAGAAAACTGTGAATCAGACGATTTTTTAAAACTGGACGGTTTGAAGTCAATAAAACTAAAAGAAAATTTTGAATGGTTCAATTTTTATTTGGGCCATTTTTTTTATTTTGCCCTGAATCTCGTAGAAGGCAGCAACTGTTGGACCAAAATAATTTTTTAAGTGTAAAAAATTGAGTTTTTGGTCGACTTTGAGTCTATATTAAAGTGGGACTCAATTGTTATTTTGAATAACATTTCGTGGATTTATATTTTACTCCATGAGGAGAATAATATAGTATATTCACTTGTTTAAATCGAGTACGAAATGAATGAGAAAATAGGCTCCAAAGTGACCATCTTGAAATGTGAAAATAAAAGAAGTGCAATGTGGGATGTGACACCAATCCCACATTGGTTGAGGAAGAAATTCAACATGGGTATATATAGGCCAAGTTTGCTCTATGGGATTGGGCTCCAATGGGTACCACAGTTTTATGAGCGGAGTGAGCACCTACATGCCTTCGGTTCAACCACACATGTGGGCCGCCCCGCCCGCCTCACCTCGCCTCTCCACGACCACGACCCGACCCGGTCGGGCTCAGGTGTGAGTTAGATCAAACCCTATCTTTTTGAAAAAAATTTATTTAATTAATTAGGCGAGAATTTCTTAACCCGAATTTAATTTCAATACCCGTTGGATCGCATTGGGTCGGGTTTGTTGCCTCCTTCTAGACCGAATTAAATTATGACTGTTCATGGAAAACAGTTACTCATGGTGTCTACTGGCTGTTGTGTCTTGTCATTCTAGGTTGTGTCCTTTAGTAAAATGACTGTCTGAAAAGTCATCAATGTGTCTATAAATACCCAAGCTCATTTCCAATAATTTAGATTCAATTAATCAGTCCGTTTTAGATAATAAGGCATACATTAGAACATATCATTTTTGACATTAAGACAGTGCATTTAGAAAGTATACAACACGTTTTGGTTCACTGGATGAACAAATTGGAGTGTTACTTCTGTTCGTGTAAAAATCATTGTATCCTAGGAGACAGACGCTCGATTTCCATACCCACCGTGTGTGGGGGCGATATCTATCTTAAGGACATAGTGTCAAACACTAGCCTTGATCTATCTAAAGTTCAATAATAGTTCATGTTCTGCAATCGGGTCAGTATTTATTTTGTTTGAAAAATAGTTACGTGTAACTATTTGTTGTTACTGTTTCGTTACCTTACTGTAACTCTTTCGTTTCTGTATAACTCTTTACTGTAATTGTTTTGTTATACTTTACATGGTTCATATCAGAAATTTTAATAAATGATTTTACAATATTTGGCACACCACAAACAACAGCAGCTTCTTCTCACCAGCGACAGGGAGGCAGTGACAGCAAGGCAGCTTCATCTCAGGCGACACTCAGATGTCCATCGAGGTTGTTCAGTACTCAGGCGCACTCAGGTGATCACTCAGACGAACAAGGAAGCAACAATTACTGCTCTGCTCAATTCTCAGGCGGAGGCGACAACTCAAGTGACCTCTCCGACAATGAACAACAGCTAAAGGAAACGACAACTCAAGCGACCGCTCTAGATCGTTAAAGTAAAATGGTTGTCCTCTCCTTCTTTCCCCTTTCTCCAGGAGTTGTACTTCAATTTTCCTAAAAATAACCTTCAGATCCTGTTGCAAATCTGCCAATAAAACACACAAAAAATACTGATTAACGACAAAAAAGAAAAAAAATGGAGTGGACTTCGAGGGTTGGGGTGAGGAATTTCACCCTGATCGCAAACCTTTGTTCTGTTTTGATTTTGTTCATAGTATCAAATGTGATTTCATTTGAATATTGCATTTAAAATAAATTTTTTCCTTTAATATATCACTAGTTCTAATCACATGCGCACGATGAACAAAAAATTGTATTTTCAATTAATTCTTTTAGTTAAATTATTATGTTTTATAATTATTATATATATTTTTTTATTATATGAACAGTCCGACCAGTTGACCCGACGGTTGAACTAGTAAACTATTGACCCGATCCTGTTACCGGGTCGATAATTGGTCTGCTTTTGATAACATTAAATGAAATTATTTCAACACCACAATGTAAAGCAATGCAAGGCTAAGAGCCAATTAATAAAAAGTGTTTCTTTCTCTTATTTATGAGTGCTTGAGCTTTACCTTCATAACTCATCTAATCAATTTAGTATTTTGTCTATCCTTTGAAAAAAATAACATACATATTTTGATATAAAAATAGCTGACCTATTTGGGTCTGATTTTTCAAACTCTTCCAAATATGGTAGTAGCTTGTTGGAAAACAAAGTCAAAGATTTGTTGATGGCGCTTGTATAAACCTAATACCAAAAAAAAAAAAAATATTTGTTAACCCTACAATAGAAACCTTGATGCAGCAAAAATGAAAACTTGATGCAGATCGAACAACCTACTTGATGGACCTCATGTTTTTCTACCGTATGTACTTTAACGCAAAAAACTCAAATACAGTGTGTGGGCTACAATTCTCCAAATTTTCTCTCTCTCTCTCTCTCTCTCTCTCTCTCTCTCTCTCTCTCTCTCTCTCTCTCTTCTAAATGTAAAGGAAAAGTGGCTAAGAGAACTAGAAAGAGCGTGTATATAAAAGCTACAATAGAGACCCTAAGGAAAAATAAGGGTCGGGTTTCTAATGGTCCTAGAAATCTTATGTTCACTGTAGAAAAAATATCCTATAGTCCATCAATAATAAGTTAGTCTACTAAAACTTATTATTGATCTCCTAGTTCTTATCTCTATTAAAATGGCAGTCCCAAGATCTGTTGATGGTACATATAATTGATTAGAAAATTTTAGTTATCTATTAACCATACTAGGTGGAATTAGAGTTTAACTTTGACAAACAGATCTACACAAACTAAAACAGATGCAAATCAAACAGTCGGCTCGATGGACCTTACGATTTTCTACCTTATGTTCTTTCATGCCAAAATTCAAATGCAGTGTGGGCTACAATCCTTTGAATTTTCTTCATTGCTCTCTCTGTGTCTCTTCCACTATAAGAAAAAAAGACTTTTCCTTCGGTTCTTAGACGAAGCAGAAAGATCTTAGTGCAAAAACAAAAACAATTTATTTCGACACCAAGTCTTTTTACTTTGGCAAAAAAAGCCTAGTTAAAAATGCCCGATGCAAAAAGTTAACTTTAGCCAATTGTTGAAGTAAAATTTAATGGTTTCAAAATGTATTTGCTTCGCCATTTTGTTGTTGTGTCGAAGCAAAACAATACTATTTGTTCGCCAAAAATGTCGAAGCAAAATGCCGAAGCAAATAGTCAATTTTTGCTTCGGTAAATACTCTTTGCACTAAAAAAAAACTATTTTGCCACGGTATTTTACAGAAGTAAATACTCTTTGTAGATGCAAAAAAAAAAAAAAAATTATTGGCAAACCTATATATCCAAAATAAAAATATATCAATATTTATAAAAAAAATAAAAAATCCTTATAAGTACATGATAGTCGAAGTTTTTACAAGTATGAAAAACTACAATTGAAAGTATCAATACATTATTAAACAAAAGAAACTCTAAAATGCGCACACAAGAAAAAAATAATAATAATCTCTCCCAATGCACCATTCATCCTCTGTCAATAATCTACAGTCAAATACAATTTTTGTTTATATTTTGTCAATTTTAAGACATAATATATTATAAAACCACAAATTATATTCATTTTTTTAAACTAGTATATAATATCTCCATATCATTGAGAATTAGTCAACCCTCTCCATATCATTGAGAACTAGTCAATCCTTTCTCCACCCTTTGTACAAAAATCTTTCAAACACAAAGAAACTCAAAACTATCTCATTACTATCTTATCCACTTCTAAAGTAGATCCATTCCAAACTCCTGTCAATTTCCAGTAATAAGAACACATAGAAAGACGTAGGCCCTCCATCTTAATTCTTCATTAAAAACATAAGTAGAAGCATATAAATGAACAACAAAGAATAGAAGGAAAAACTAGCTAAAATTACTGCATATCAATCCGTAACTAAGTGAAAACCAATACTATAGGGTTACTTTAACCTTATACTTTGGAAGCAACAGCTAACGAATAAAAAAGGTAAAAGAATGACAAGTAAACATGTTGGAAATATAACAACTTAGTTTATTAGGGTTTATTTTGTTTTACCTTTTTTATCCTTGTTGTAAACATTCATTAGCTATATATACAAGGCTCTGCATTTAGTTTGTATCCCTTGTTACTCTCAAATACATCAGGTTGGTATCAGAGCCACAACCTTAACCCTAATCTTAACCCTAGCCTCCACCACCTTTCCTACAGCCAGCATCAATAGAAGCTAGCCCACTGCCGGCGACAAATCCAGAAACCGAAAGCCAACCCACTATCTTCTCACCTAGAACATACCCAAGCAGCCAACCACGAGAACATACCCAAGCAGCCAACCACCGAGAACATACCCAAGCAGCCAACCATCGAGAACATACCCACCGATTGCCCAAACCTCATCAAATCAAACCAATACATCAGCCCACCAGACCAAAACCACCAAGCAAGCACCGACTGTCCAAACCCAAGCCACCTAGTAAACAAAGCAGTGCCGAAAAGAATAAACCCAAAACCAACCACCGACTGCCAAAAACCCAAGCCACCCTGTAAACAAAACAGCCCAGTACCCACTATTGTTTATATCTATGTTGCATAGACTTGCATAGACCGTCTCAATAAATCAAAGCCCAAAGCCCAAACGAACCCAATAACCCAATCAGCCCAGTACCCACTCTAGCGAACTAACCCACTATTGGATCGCGCTCTTCCTCACAACATCGTGCGCCACGTTCTTTGTCGTAGTGTTGTCATCTATGTGTCACTACCTTATTTTTCTGACCTTTTAAAGAGGGGATGAATCCTCTTATCCGATGATCTATTCTTGATGCGGTATATCCATTATTTATATTTCTTAGATTTCTGGGTACTGTGACCTAATTATTTGGGAGCTTTTTGGACATTCTTTATCTGTCGCTATTGTTCGACTGGAGGTATATTGTTCTCCCTTATTTTACCCCTCTATTTATTTTAGAGTTGTTTTTGTTGTCACAGGTGCCCTAGTATTATTGTTGCTATGGCTACTATTGTTAAGACATCTGCTGTTAGTACTTCCACTTGGAATGTACCTCCTGGTTCTCGCCAGTGTGGTTATTGTGGCCGACCAGAACATCTCAGGGCTACTTGCTGGAAGCTCTATCCGAAGCTTAAGCCACATTCTCGCAGCCGTACTGCTGCCATTGGTGAGGTACCACCACTTACTGCTGCTACTCTAGTTGTTGCTTCTCCTTGGCAGAGTGATATGGATGTTATCACTTCCTCGATTGGATATACTTATATCCGCCCTGACTTCTCAGGATCCGATTACTACTACTGCCACCATTACAAGTATACCTCGTGCCTCTCATGCTTGTGTCAGTCCCTCTCCCCTTTAGATACTGGACTCGGGTGCAAATGGTCATATGACAGGTGAGACCCATCATTTCACCTCTTTTGACGAGCAGTTACATTTTCAAGTTCAGTTAGTAGATGGTACACATGCCCCTATTGTTAGTAGGGGTACGGTCCGCCTCCCAGATGACCTTTATATTACGTTCAATGTTTCATGCGCCAAAGTTGGTCATGAATCTATTATCTGTACATCAGTTAGCTAGAAATTTTCAGTGTGCGGTTGTGTTCTTATCTGTTTCGTATTATTTGCAGGACATGAATACCAATAGGATTATTATCAAGGGACATGAAAGAGAGATGAATTGTATTATTTAGGTGATCCACCTCCGGTTTCACCAATTTCTCCACATCCATCTCCCTCACCTGCTTTGTTTTATCTATTCCTAGCTTGCATGCTAGTATTTTACCTAGTACTTGTCGTTATAATTTTTATCACAAACTGTTCAGTTGTGACATGACCGTTTTGGACATACAAATTTTAAATATTTATGTATGTTATTTGCTGCTTTGAGCAAAGCTTGTATTAGTGGTAAACTTGACTATGTTATATGTTCCCTATCAAAACATATTCAGACCAGTTATATTCCTCGCATGCACTAGTCACCCAAACCATTTGACCTAATACACTCAGATATTTGGAGACCCTCTCCTGTTACTGCTCTGTCAGGTGCCCGATACTATATGACATTTATAGATGATCATACTCGTTTTACTTGGGTCTACCTTTTGCGTAGGAAGTCTGATGTACTCCCTGTCATCACTCAATTTTTTCAGATGATTAAGACATAATTCGATGTCATTGTTCATGTTCTTCGTTCGGATAATGCCAAAGAATATGTGTCTGATGCCTTAGTGTCTCACATTTTTTCTCAGGGTATCCTTTAGCAGCTCATTTGTCCATATACTCCTGAGCAAAATAGAGTTGTTGAAAGGAAAAATATAGGTCTAATAGGGATGGTACGTTGTATGCTTAAAAGTATAGGGGTACCAAAATCTTATTGACATTTTGCTATTTTGACTTCTACCTTTTTGTATAATCGTACATTGAGTCGTGTTTTTCAACATAGGGCTCTCTTACA